AATACAACCAGATGATTGTGAAAAATTTGTTTCGTAATTCATTAGTTTCAGACATTCATCCATATTTTATACCCCTCTCCCCCTTATTAGTCCATTAATGAGAGGGTTGACTGTACTCGCTTTTTAATTGAAATAGTTCAGTATCCTGTCTGACTTGTTCACAGAAGTGAGATATTCTGTGATATAAGGTAAAGTCAGATGAATTATTGTGCAGAAGGGCAACTGTGTAAAGTGTTGGTATGCTGAGATACTGAAAGCTACTAGCCACTGATTGGCTAAGTGCAAGTTTTATCCCCCTACATTCTTTCTCTCATAAAAGTATTTATGTTGCTAATATCTCCCAAATGAATAATATACACAGGAATTAAATTTGCCCTAAACTAAATATTAATCCCAAAATTATTGATGATGAATAGTCACACAAAACTTAAACTACCTGTTATAATTTTTATTCAAAAAACTTGTATTATTATTAAAAGTTTATAAGTACTAAGTGGGCCAGCAGGCTGTAACAACAGCTTGATTGACCAAGCAAGCACTGGATAAGCCTAGCTTGGCCAGGCTCTGGGAGTAGGAAAACTCTTGAAACCCTTCAAGAGTATAATAAATGTATAAAGGTACTAGTCTGCTCAGAATGCCATGTATAACAAGAGTCTGTGCTTATAATGTACATAAGATGTAATCTCAGAGCTCAGTCTACACCTTGTAATTTCTAGGAAGTACAGCTTGAATTTTTGTCTTTTATTTAAATTGGTCTTTTCAGTGTATGGCTGTACACAAATAACCTGCACACAGGAAAATGAAACTTACGAAAACGTTTCGGTATTCCACTTTATAGAAAAGTTCCTTGTTTTGTTGAAGACATAACTCAGTACTGTAAGAGTCAAAGTAAGCACTAAGACTTTCAACACCCTCCCGTCTTGCCTGAGAAAACTGCCAACAAACTTCTGGCTGTCTTCAAGAAGGAACTAAATGTGTTTCTAAGGTCAGTTCTTTGTCAGCTAGGCTGTGATGCATACGTTGGATTGCAATTGGCTAGCACCAACAGCCTCGTTGATCAGGCTATCAACTGGAAGGCCTGAGCTGGGCCTGATGACTCCCAACATTTTTAGTTGCATATGTTTATCTACAAAGTTGTAAAACAATTTTCATTTAAGTTTCAATGGTTGCAGCATTCACTGCTTTATTTAATCCTTTCCATTGCCCCTCCACTCAGTTACAAAACTTTCTCATATCCTTTTGGTTCTACTTTTACTCTTTTGTTCAAGTTGTGGTGCTAAGAAGACAAATCTGTAGCTATTCTTCCATATCATGTTAACCCTTAAACTGTCCAAACGTAGATCTACATTTGGACAGTTTAAGGGTTAAGACCTTAGTATGTAATTATCATGTCTCAACTTTTGTGACCTTGTATAAGGTTATCATGTCTCAACTTTTCCTGCTATTAGGCATTGAGGGCATCTTTGGTGTTATCAACTTTTCATTTTTACTGTCTCTCACTTAGATGTATGTCATTGAAGCCAGTGTCACTCGTGTAGATCTGCGTCTTAATCATAGTACTGTCAAATACTCTGTGATCAGTAAATTTTGGCATAGATATGAGAAAATAGGTCTGTCTAATGAGTGTGCACAGTATAAAATCACATCCTGCCCCACACAGTGCAGTATGAGAACTGCAATCCTCTGACCCTATGTTAAGGTTAAAATAGTGACTTTGAGGTGTTTTCTAGGGTGATTTTTATGGTTTTATTAGGTGTTTCTTGGTGTCACTTGATGGACCAGAAGACATCCTGATAAAGTGGAAATGATTTTGACAAGTTTCAAACTGGAAGTAGTATGAAATAGGCTCTAATTAGCAAAAATATTAGATATTTTGTGATTTCCTGGAGGAAGGGTAGTGGCCCCACAGCCCCTTACTCCTGGATTGTTGTGTGTTTTTTGCTAGGCCTGCTTCAATTATCTAGACAGCCTAAACCATGACCAATCAATCTTCCTTATATTTTCTTAGTTGAGGAATTGGGTAAAAGTTTGTGTGATGGATTCAAAATGGAAGGCAGGTTTTATATAGATGAAGAATGGAGATGTGATTGATGAACAGAGGAAAGGTTTCTTTAGTGGCTGGAATGCCTCCAGTGCTTATTTTGGACTTATTTTTGCATTGGAATTTATTCATTTTTTTGTAAAATTGGCCAAATTTCTAACTTTTGGGTGCTTTATATGCCTAATAGTTTAATGAGCAGTTTCTTGTACTCATTAGATAGAACTTAAGACATACTAGTGAAATAGCTAAGAATTGAATCAGTTTGAGTATTATAATTGATCTAAATAGGCCTCAAATTAGGCAGAATCATGTGTGTAAATTGCACCCAGATTGCCTGCATAAATCTGATAGATTTATGCAGGCAGTCTGGGTGCAATGACACACCAAAAATGTGAAATCTGATAACTTTCACATTTTTGGTGTGTCATTATGTTCAGAAAAAGATTGTCTACCATTTCAGAAGATAAAATTATTGTTATTTTTTAAAAAATCTTGACACTGCCAGCGCTTTTAGTTTCAGGGGTTGTGACAGTGAGAGGGGTTAAACTCATTTTATAGCTCCTGTGGGCCTCTTTTACAAAGATAACAGAACTCTATTCACTTTTCTAAAACATTATGATAAGTTTAGTAGACTTAATGTTATATTGTTTAGATTTTTAGCTTAGGCAAAAAAAATTTCTGACATTTATAGAGAAATCCCATACAATATGCCCTTGTGTGTGTTCGGATTTTATGAACCATTTTAGAAATAACACTGACTGTGAAACCTGTATAACACTCATAGTAGACTCTTGGATCACTTTTTTTTTTTTTTTTTTTTTTTTTTTTTTTTTTTTTTTTTTTTTGACTGGGCCGCAGGGGCGTTGACCCCCGGAACTCTCTCCAGGTAAACTCCAGGTAATACCTGTACTCACCTAGTTGTAGTTGCAGGGGTCAAGTCACAGTTCCTGGCCCTGCCTCCTCACTGGTCGCTACTAGGTCACTCTTCCTGCTCTATAAGCTTTATCATACCCCTTCTTACATGTGTTTACATTTCTTTGCATTCATACTTGTGCTCTCTACTGTCTACTTAAAACACTGCTCTGGATCACAGTACCATCCGGCTGCCTGTATGCTTTGTTAAAGGCCCCTTTTCAGTACATTGAATTAACATCATCTATGTGGCCACTCAACCTTCTCCTCTATCTTGGATTACAGTGATCTGCATGCAGCATGCTTGGCACACATGATGTTCTCATATGGCTTGTTCAGTATACATACTTGCATAAAATTTCCGTAGATACAGTGGAACCCTGAGTTTCGAATGCATCGACTATTGAACACTTTGAGTTTCGACTGCTTTTTCACACCAATTTTGTCCCGAGTATCGAACATGCCCCATGTTTCGAACCGTGTACCAGACCTGTCTGCCTGCGCATGCCTGCGTGCCTTCCCGTGCCTACCCATATAGGCGTCGTGAGCCAGTCTAGCTTTGTTAATCCTTGAGTGAGCACAACCTTGCATGCTCATCCAAACATTTCAGAATAAATTAATTGTGTTTAGTGCTTTTTTATTGATTGTGACTGTGAAATAAGCCTCCATGGGCCCAAAGAAACTTCTTAATGGCACCCCTTTGGTGAAGAAAGTGAGAAACACTATAGAAGTGAAGAAAGAAATTGTACAAAAATACGAGGCAGTGGTGGAGGCAGTGGTTGAGGCAATAATAAGTCCTCCCTCTCTGCTTCTCCCTGTCTTCCAGATGCCAAAAAGAGTCTTCAATAAAGGTACATAAATGTGATTTTAAATGTTTATTTAAATGTTTATTTATCTATTTCAATACTCATTTAAGTACTACATGTATTTATAATGGTTTGTGTATGTAAAACTATAGTTATTCTTCAAAAAATGTATTTTTTGTGAATATTTTTATGGGTCTGGAACGGATTAATTGGATTTACATTATTTTTGGGGGGAAATATTGCTTCGAGTTTCGAACGTTTCAACTTTAGAACTAGCTCCTGGAATGGATTAAGTTCGAAACTTGGGGTACCACTGTATTAGCCGGGACTTACACCCCCAAAGTATCCAAAGTGCTGGTGATATTTCAACGCCTCGCCTGCCACTTAAACATCTTGTGCCTAGACTTAAAGACATCTCTCCTCAAAAAAAGGGGCTCAATCTACCCTTGGTTCTTCCATTTCTCATCTGTCTCTGCTGTCCACTTCTTAAGTCCTGATTGGCAAACTTGTTACTGGGTGACAGTGTGTTCTAAGACTCACTACTGGTGGTATGGAGATCATGCAGGCAGGTTTCACAGCCATTCTGAAATGCTTCATGAAATCCCTACAAAGTAATGTCCTAATTCAAAAGTGTTATGTTGTATAAATTTTACTCAGGACCAGATTTATTAGATCTGTTGATAGACAGATCTTTATTATCCTGTTCCTGTATCCTCCTTTGTTTCTTCTCCTTTCTCAAAAATAATTGTAGAGGAAGGTGGTACATAATCATATCTTTGATCATTTTATCTTTGATCACAGTGGAGGTGTGTGCAAAATATGTGATTATATTAAGTTGTGTATGAGTATACGTATTTGCATGAAGTAGATTTGTCAGGGCAAATACTATCGTAGATCGACAGTCAGTGAGTTGTAGAAGATAGTGAGTTGTTATTAGGTATTAGACAGATAGCATTTCTCAACATTTTATTACAGTTGAGCACAACAAGTTCATCATCTATCAGGGGCCAGAGGCATTCTGAGCCTATGATCTTCCATGCCTAACCTATGTGAAAATTTAATTTTCAAGACCAAATATTACAGTACAAATCAAACAAGACCATTTCAATGTCCAAGTGCCAAAATAAACTCAGATTCTCTGAATTATCAGATTGAACTTCTAGTGCTCAACTGTATTGAAAACTTATGGCATCATACTCATATTTTGGATGTAGATTTCATCATTGACATACCTTTGACAGATCCAGATCCCATTTGACACATATTTCAAAGTGGAGCCACTTGCTAAGTTTCATCGTGTCATGACCATGCAGGAGTTTATGGACAAAGTTGCACAGGCTATCTGGCCTCCAGAAACAAGAATTGGTTAGTGTCTTGCTTTAGTTTTATAAAAAAATAGTCATATAGTGTTTTACTGCATGAAACTTCATTATATCACTCTTAAGGACCTCAAGTGTTAGCACTGTTTTATTATTGTTATTACGTGCGTACGTATTATTATTATTGCTATTATTATTATTACCATGCATGAGTAAGTATTAAATCTGTAATGCTTATACAGTGTCTTGGATTAAGAGCCCTTCATCATCATGAAGGAAATCTCCTTGAAGAGCATTATGATTATTATTATTATTATTATTATTATTATTATTATTATTTAGCACTAGTGCCTACTTAAATTACAAATGTACCCAGGCACAAGAACTGCAATAGTTGGGCATACCATACCCTTCATAGAAGTGGTGCCTTGATGTTGATGAAGGGATCTTGGTCCATGGAATAAAAGATACCCTTACCTGGATCACCCCTCATTACCTCTTGTTCCCCAAGCACTGTATGACTCCAACTGATTTAGCACTTCCCCATAATAATAATAATAATACTGTAATAATAATAATAATAATAATTTAATATGAATAACAGATGAATATGAATAATATGTAGTTGGGACAGATGGGATTAGAGCAGAAATGATAAAAGCAGGTGGACGTATAGTTATGTAGTGGTTGCTGTATTATCTAATACAGTACATGAAAGAAGGGAAGTTACCTAAGAGTTGGTAGTAGACATACATAGTTCCTTTGTACTATAAAGGAGGTAATAAAAGTGAGTGTAGGAATTATAGGGAAGTTACCTTTGTTCACTATGCTGGATAAAGTGTATATGGGGTAATATTATTGTTGCAAGAGTTAAAGGTAAGATAGAAAGAAGGATTGCAGAGGGAAAAAAAAAAAGGTTTGAGGAAGGGTAGGAGATGTGTGTAAACAAAGTATTTATATTGAAGCATATAGATGACCAGTTCTTAGATAAAGGTAAACACCTTTTCATTGTACTTATGGATTTAGAAAAGGCATACGATAGGGTGGATAGAGAAGCAATGTGGCTGATACTCCAAATTTATGGAGTAAAATGTAGAGTGCTGAAAAGTAAAGAGATTTAATGTGGATAATAAGGCTCAGGTTGGGAGTTATAAGAGAGAGGGGCATTATTTTTTAGCAAAGATATGCCTTAGACAGGGATGTGTGATGTCACCATAGTTGTTTAACATATTTATAGATATGTTGTAAAACAAATGAAAGCTAGGGTGCTGGGGACAGGTGTGAGATTTAAAGTTAACAAATTTGAAACGATGTTGGAGTTGTCACAGGTACTCTTTGCCAATGACACAATTCTTTTGAGAGACTGAGGAAAAGTTGCTAAGGTTGGTGGATGAATTTGGGAGAGTATGTAAGAGAAAGTAATTAAAAGTGAACATAGAAAAGAACAAGGTGATGAGAATAATAAAAAATGTAGACAATGAAAGATTTAACAACAGAAGGAAAGGAGGAAATATGGAGGAAGTAAATGTGTCCAGATATTTGGGAGTAGACCTATCAGTGGAATGGTCTCTGAAAGATGAGGTGAACCATAGAATAGAAGAGGGAGAAAAAGAGGTGGGTGGTGCATTGAGGCATCTGTGGAGTCAAAGAACTTTATCCATGAAGATAAAAAAGGGTATATACCAGAATATAGTGATACCAACACTGTTATATGGTTGATAAGGCATGGGTTTAAAATACTGCAGCAAGGAGGAGTCTGGATACAGTAAAGATGTCATGTTAGTGGGCAATATGTGGTGTGAATATTATGCAGAGAATTCAGAGCATAGAAATTAGAAGGTGGTGCAGATTTGCCAGATATAATTCAGATGGCTGAGAAGGGGGTTATATGGTGGTTTGGAGGATTTTTTAAAAATATGTAAATTATTTATAAATGTTGAAAAAAATCTGAAATGTTTGTTATTGCGTATTTCAAAGATTCGAGGCTTTCTCAAGCATTTACTGAAAAACTTCGATTTTTTTTTTTTAGCTAAAATATGCCTATATATAAGCTACTTAAAAAAACAATAAAATTTGACTTACTTTTCCCATAAAATGCAATTGCAGCAGTAATTTAGAGAGGATGAAACAGAATGGAATGACCTAAGAGGTGTATAAATCAAGGGTTTAGGGAAGGAGGGATAAGGATCATCTCAAGAAAGGTTGATAGGAGAGGGTAAAGGAGGTTGTGAGTGCTAGAGGCTTGAATATCCAGTAGACTTGTTTAATTGTGTTAGACTGGAGTGGAGACAAATAGTTCTTACTACTTAACAAGCTCTTCATGTATAAGAAGGGTAACATTTATAAAGGGATTCAGGGAAACTGGTTAGTTGGACTTGAGTCTTGGAAGTGGGAAGCACAGTGCCTGCAAGCTGAGGGAGGGGCGAGGAAGTTTCAGTTCAGAGAATCATTTGAATTATGATGTCCACACACTATTGGTAAAACAACTGTTGAATGAGTGATAGTGAATGTGTTTCCTTTATTGTGTCACCAATGTGTTAATAAAATAATGTGCACCTCAAACATTAAAATAATGTGCCCCTCAAACATTAATTCGCCATTATAAAAATAATGGTGTTGCCAGCCTTCTTCAAAGTTAAAAAACGTCCTTAGGAACATCTCCTTTGGTACCAGTAAGCACACTTAATCACCATAATTGCATTTACTTCATAGTTGACCCTTTTTTTTTTTTTAGTTACCCTTTCTTTTTTGTTATACTGTACTATATGTTCTAACTTTCGTTATAAAAAAAAAAAATTAGAAATAACCTGGCAGTTTACTTATGTACACAAGTGTCACAGGATAGGAGCATGTTATAATGCATTTTTAAAACCTATGCATAGTAAAGTAGCATGAGTTAAGAAATGGCATGCAGTAGTAAAAGATGATCCTATACATAGATTCAGTAGTTACAGTGGCAAAAATCACATCAGTAACTATGACAGCAAAATGACGCCAGTTGACCAAAAATTCAGGGGGTGAACCCAAGACCCAAGCTTTAATCCCAGTAACCTCAGGTACTGCAGTTACGTAACTGTTATTAACCCCTTCACTGTCGCAACCCCAAAACTTGAGATGTCTCCTGGTGTCACAAAATTTCCGAAAAAAAAGTTATTTTTTCTTATGAAATGATAGAGAATCTTCTCCCAATTGTAATGACACCAAAAGAACGAAATTTGATGGAAAGCTGACGGAATTACGCTCTCGCAAAGTTAGCGACTTCAGCGATATTTACGAATCGGCGATTTTGCCCACTTCGAGCCCTATTTTCGGCTAATTCCATTGTTCCAGTCGACCAAACTCATAGCTATTTCTTTAGAACTCCATTTTTTCTATTGATTGAGTACAAGAAACTGCCCATTTACTGATTTCAACTACCCAGTAACATGGTCAGAAATTTGCAATTTGGCCAATTTCACGAAAATTAAAAAAAATGACAATTTCAAAATAGGGTCCAGAATGAACAATGCAGACATTCCTGGCTCTAAAATAACATTTTCTTTGTTCATCAGTCAAGTCTCCAGGCTCCTCTGATATTACTCTTGCTTTCTATTTTGAATTTTTATTCAAACAAAAAATAGAAGATTTACTGTTATGTAGACTACTGCAATATTGTAATAATTTTATAAATAATGTCAACCCATTCATGACTGCATATTAGAATGGCTACTTGGACATTTATTGGAAAATTACATCATTTGTTTACTTTTTAACATTGGCAAATATCAAACATTTCCCCTACTTTGAGCTCCATTTCAAGGCTCTTTTCATAGTAAAACCAATCAATATCACACCTATTTCTATAATATGTTTTCCATTCTATCAAATGAGACCAAGAAAACGAGAATACAATCATAAATACCATACGAAAATAGACCACAAAGTCGGCATTTTAATTAAAAAAACACTCAGTTTTTTTTCACATTATACACTGCGTGCTGCAGGAATTTTTTTATATGGTGCACACTGACCACACCGACCCATTCTCTCACATGTGGTCCTACCAGCTTTCTCCTGCTTGATTTGAAGCCGCTAGAATTTATGAGTATATACGTATACGTCAAACACGGTGGCTCGTATGACGTATATATACGACCAAAACAGTCAAAGGTTTAAAATGTCTTATCCCAGAATAAATATCAGTACAGTAGGGCCCCACTTATATGGCGGGTTAGGTTCCAGGCTATCGCCGGAAAGCAGACATTGCCGGAAAGCAGAATGCCATTTTTTCCATTTATAAACGCATATAGTTGCCAGAAAACAAGTTTACACTAATTTATATTAAGTTAGTAATAGAACTAGGCATTAAAAAACACAAAAAGTAAAATGCATACACAGTACATTCATTACTTATCTTAGAGTATTTGTAATCTTAATGTAGGGAGAGAGGTGAGTAGTACTTATTTGTAGGAAGTCAGGTGTAGGTAGCCTTGGGTCCCCGTCTCATACTTAATATGCGATATTTAAAACAGCCCAGAGAGTTAAAATACACATACATTACACTCACTGTTTACCTTAAAATATGTGTAGTCTTAATGTAGGAAGAGAGGTGAAAAGTATTTATTTGTAGGAAGTCAGTGTAGGTAGCCCAGAGCCATATTATTAGCATCAACATACCTTGTTCACTGAATTTAATCATTTCTAACAACTACCTTTAGATGCCATCATAAACGAAGGGAGAAGTGATGAATAATTCATGCCGAAAATTGTAAACAAAAGCGGAGTGGGGGAGTGGCTGGGCCAAACACAGATTCATACACTTTTTCTCTGGTGGCTGAGCGGAGAAAATGTAATGTTATCACTCCGCCCGGCTACCACACAGGTCCACAAGTATTATTATCAGAGCACATACAAAATATGCAATAAATGCCAGATAACAAGTTTACACTAACTTATATTAAGTTAGCAAAAGAATTAGGCATTAAAAACACAATAATAGGTAAGCTAAACACAGAGTACACTTATTACTTGCCTTAAAATATTAATATTAATGTGTGAGAGGTAAGT